AGAAGTCTAATTTCTAATGCAGGTGAACAAATTGAACTTAAAAAAATAAGCTTTTAACTCAATGCATAAAATTGCCACACCCCCTGAAATTCCATCTTGCACCCCTTGGGGGTGTGGGCACCCCAGGTTGGGAACCCCTGTTCTATCTGCAGTTTATTTTTATTTTTAATTCTCTAAATGGGAGCTGGATAGACGACCTGTTAGGGATCATTTGTTAATCAATACACTGAGCAAAATAACCTATAAGCTTTCTTGCCAACACATATTTCCAGTGATTCTCTACCTCGTCACGCAGGGGCTAGTTTCAGACACTACCCATACATTCAAATATGAACTTTAGATTTGTGCTCCCTTTTGACCTTGAGTATAAGCTATATTTGTCCCTTTTAGACATAAGAGAAAACACAATTATTGGAGAAGCAAGCTATGGCTGAATTGGAAGAGGAGAGAGCATAGGGAGAGTCAAAGCTTAGATCTATTTGTCCATACAGTGTTAAACCAGGTTTGTGTTATCCACTGACAGAAAAATATATTTCTAGTACAGGTACATAAGCTATATGATTTCTACTGATTTTTACATGGTGTCCTGGATTATAGAAAGCCCAAACAAAACTGCCAGTTTTCTTGCTGTATTTTACTTCCTTCTAGAGTAAAATAAAAACATTAGAAATATCTATCATAATCAATAAACAATCAGCATAGTCTTAATTGTTCAACAGTGTTTATGCTAAATTGTACCTTAAATTCATCCAGAGACATGGTTACCTTTCTCTGGTTATCTAATTAAATTGCAATCTCTTTCATTTAGCATCGCTGTGTGGCTATTTTCAAAGATAAAGTGAACAAACCAACAGGCTTTGCCCTTGGAAGTATCGAAGGAAGAGTTGCCATTCATTATATTAACCCACCAAATCCGTAAGTATCTGGAAGTAGTCTGCTGTTTACTTTTCATTTCCAAGAAGTGTAGGCTTTTAGAATAACTGTATTGCATGCAACGTGAAATTAAGGAATGCATTTTTTTTTCAGTGCCAAAGACAATTTTACCTTCAAATGCCATCGATCCAATGGTACAAACACATCTGCACCTCAAGATATCTATGCAGTAAGTATTTATGCATTGTGCAGTAAGTTTCTTCTAGGGCAATTAAAGGAGAAAAACAGATATTTATAATCAGATTGCAAAAAAGCACTTACTCTGTTGTCAACTCAATATATTTTCATTTAATACAATATATCTGAGTGGAGAAAAGCTCTGGCAAGCTTAGTATATTTGATAAGCGGAATTCAGAGTTTAGCTAATGTAAATGAAAGAGAAGTTATGGTACGGCTTGGTTCTCTCTAGGTTCTCGTTAAATTCTGTGGGAAAAAGCAGTTAGGCTTTAGTTTGTGGAAGTGGAAAAAAAATCCTCCAAATACTTGCATTACTTGACCAAATAGGTTCCAAAGTGTTATAGGTTTTAATTTATATTTTAATTGTATATTTATTTATTGTTTTAACA